CGATCATTCCTTAAGTTTGTTTGTGTGATCGGATTCGACGAAAGCGCGGTCACGCCTTTCTCCATTATGGGAAGTAACCAGCAACAAGAAGTTCGAAGTAATCGAGCATTCGTATTTGGAGACTGTGGGCTTGTTAATATTGCCAAAGAGAGCCGCCGCTCTTTGAGACGTCTCCCTTAGTGGGCCAGGGCTTCGCGCAAAATTCGCTGGTCCGGGTTTGGCCTTCGTAGCCATGCCAAGAAAGAAGGGACAAGATCGACGACGAAGGCAAGCGAGATGAAGATAGAGGGAGCGAAGAGTGGAAGGGGGACGAAAAAAAGACCGGGACCGAAGGGAGCGAGGGTATACGAGAGAGAAATGCGTGGGAATTGAACCATGTGGTCGGCCGACTGGCTCGCGAAATATCGCGTTGCGAAAGTACGCACACACATACAGAGGCAATACATGGTACCGGTACAGCCGAGGCAGCGCGAACGAAACCGGTGCACGTATATACCATGTTTCGAGGTCACGGAGAATTTCAGAAAGAATCACGCGCGAGATAATTAGACCGCCTTTCATCAAGTTACGTCGTTTGGTAGTAATGAGAGGACCCGCGTGTAAATAGCGCTCCGAACAAAGCTCGCAATACATTTTATTAAAATGTTTACGTACACACAATGAAGTAGACCTTATTACGTGTGCTAAAGTCAAATAAAAAGTCCATATAACGCCGATTCACATAAAATGCTAGACCATTGTACAGAATGTCCAAAAATTTACAACTGAAAATTTCATAGTATGAAAAGTTCTCGAGCAATTGGATGAAAGAGTTATTTGTAAATTCTTATTTTAAGCAGCAATTTTTGAGATGATAAAAAGATTTACGGCCAATTACAGACTATGTCTAGACAGCCACCTGTCCATAAGTCGCGCGTGTATCGTGCGATAGTATTAATACCATTAATGAGCGCGCGCATTTCAACACACTAATGTTCACAGATGGTCGTCCTAAACATAGTCTGTAATTGACTATTTTTAAACACTTGTTATCTTAAAAACTGCTGTGTGTGTGCTTAAAATACATATTTACAAATAACTTTTTTACTTTATTTTTCAAGTATCTCCCCTTTTATTGTAATATTTCGAATCACAAACATTCAATATTAAATGTATAAATTTTAAACATGCTCAACGACTGTTTAACAAAACGGTTTTCTTTAAATTTCATATTTCTGAAATACCATATAGTAAAAAAAAGCTGTATTTTTACGACACAGTCGATATGACGAATGTAAAGACGAGCATCGTACGTACGTATACGACACGTGCTCGATTACGCAGCGCGCTGCGACTTGCGATCAGCGCGAGATCAGCTGTTAGTTCACACCGCCAATTACGAGTCACGCGACTCTCGAGGTTCTTGTCCCGACTGACACACATGCGCATTGTATGCCTACCTTTAATCGTCTCACGAGGCACCGCGGCGTTGGGCGCCTCGTCTCGTCACGTCTCGCGTGGTCCACATTCCTCGCTAAATACCCGATTAACTCTTGACCCCTGCGTGACCGCGTTGTCCGAGCGCGACGTTGCGCAATTTTTAGTCGATGCTATTTTTGAACGCGCCGGCGGAATGTTATTAGCGTGGCTCATTTCCATGTCTACTCTTCTGCTTTCCAAACATCTCCTCAAGGCTTCTAAAATTCCTGTCTCGCTAGCCTTCCATTTTCAACACTGAATATCTTTAACTGAATCTCAAATTACGAATCTATTAAAATAAACTCGACTCTCTCTCTGGTAAGGAAATAAATTTTTTATAAGATCTGTTTAAATCTCTAAAGTTGAGTTAAAAGAAAAAAACAAAAGCTCTTCTTTATTTTAAAATTATTTATAATTTTAAAATGATTGAGAGAGAGAAAGAGATATCTTAATATTTTATTAAAAGAAAAATTCAAATTCATTTAAAGAAACAGCGGACAAAAAACGATTCAATAAATTTCCGCTATCCTACGAATATATATCAAAATGTTTCTCCAAGAAACGCGATTTTAGTCGGTTTAGTATTTGCGTCGTGAAATACTCGCCGTAGTCCGTTCCCACGATTGACCTTACTTCACAAAGGTGGCACAAAGCTGTAGGGAACAAGTTCGCAGGTAAAGATTTACGAGGGTCCGTTGTATTCATGCCCAACAGCGTTAACCGTACCAGTATGATATCGAATTTTATTTTTTCGTACAAACTTTATTTTATATTAACGTACATATATTCATTGTCAGAATATAATCTTATATGTAGCAAAATATTATTTACAAATTAAGACAAGATATTACTTTAAAAAAATATATAATAAGATTTGGAGAATACCGTAAACATTTCCTTCTTCTTATTCGTAATATCACTTCAAATTGAAAATCAAACATACAAGAAACATTAAAAATAAAACGTCAATATAGGTAGAACCCAAGGTAGAACCTGAACACCGATCATGTGATCGCACCGTTCGCATCAGCTGATACCTACTTGACGGTAATGACGTCAGCGTCCTAACAGCGCAAAAATTAAACGAACGCTGTCACACGACAGTGAAGCTAATAGTTACAAGTCCCGGCATAACTAGGCGAGCGATCCAAACCGATTGTACGAGGATTTAGTTTTATAGCGTGGGATCAGACACCGACTTTCACATGGTAAAATTGGCCGAAGAACCAAAGCGCGCGGTGATTCATAAAGGCCGCCGGTGGCGGCTTGCGTAACATCACGACGCGCAAACGCAAAGGGAACGATTGAGTTTTATTGACGAATTCACCTTGCCAAAAGAGAGGTAGGTCGTCGTTTCCGGTCCACGTGTCAGCCTGACCCGGCCAGACATCGTGCTCTAATGTAATAAAACTCTTCCGCCGGCCGGATGGTACCACCTTACTTGCTATTGAGGCACGGGATCCGTCTGCGTTTTTCAAATAACGGTTAGAAAGTCTTCAAATACGTACCGAGATTCCTTATTTGGCGAATGCAGAGAAAAATTCTTGTTTTTCTTTTCATTTTTCAGCACTGTATACGTGCAAAAAAAGGCGAAACATAAAATGCGTCTTATTTATGTGTTTAACGAGAGTGTCATTGCATGCCAGCGGTATTTTCGAATTGTATGACCAAACAAGAGCAATAGGTTTTTTTTATGTTCGCTAATACATATCGAAAAGGTTTTTCCTTTGAAAAAAATAAATTATAAAAATATCTTGCAAGGCAATAAATCATGCAATAACGATCAGTCAGATTTTCACGGCATTAATTTTCATTATTATCGTTACTTTTCTTGTATGGTCTTGCATAAAATCTAATACCGCCAAACAAAGATACAAATTAATCTTTAAATGCATATCATTAATTATGTCAATTGACAATTTTATATACCTATATATAAAATTCGTCATTTCATTTCTAATACCGTGTGCTTTTAATTTTTATTACTGTACAGAAACAAACAATATATATTTACAGTCAAATGCATTTAAAGATTAATGGAAACTCGGGGCTACTGCGACGAAGTAAACAATTCTATCAATTGTATCCGATAATTGGAGTCACGAATTCATCCAACGAGTATTCATATATAACATCTTGCGGGAAACAATATTCCTGACGAGTCCACTTGGAATATTGAATACGCTCAAATACTCGCACAACGTCCCAACGATCCGAAATAGTCACATATCGATTGAGCGCGTCGCTGGAGTTCTCAAGTTCGAAGTGTTCAAACGGAAAGTCAAAAAAAAAAGTAAACATCGCAAGGTGGTACTAGTATAAAGGCGTGACCCACTCTTACGATACTGGCGGTAGTATCTCGATTTTCCCTTTGTGCACGAGCGCGGCATAAAAGATATTTCGTGCACGCCACATCTTGCACATGGACGAAATGAGAATTTTCCAAGTTCGGATGCATTACGATAAAGAAAAGGAAAAAAGAAAATTATGCTTTGCGATTTGTGATGAGACACTGCTTGCACAATATAAGCAATCGTGCATTAAGATTCGAATTATCCTCATGCAATGATTTTCGACTATCTATTTGCGCGGAGCTTGGACAAAAGTTCATGTTTAATGCTTTATAACTTTCATGAGAAAATCTAAATACCTTGCGATGTTATATGAGAAAAATTAAAACATTTATCAATAATTCATCTCTTTTATATCTGATAATGTTTTCCTCTCTTATGAGACACATGCAATGATTGTGCATTCCTTCTAATGTATCCATGGAAAGACGTGAACACGAAGCGATAAATGGATGAATGAGCGTAAGAGCTTGATCGACTATTCCTCCAGCACAGAAAAAATTTATTGGAGGAAGTGTTCTTCAGTTCTTTTACAATGATTCATACCGAATGAGCAAGCGATTCAAGCTACGAGGAGTACGGCGATAATAGTAACACTTCGCATGGATACAATTCTCATTTCAACCAAAAAGGTTTATCATAATACGATGCCAGGTATGCGTCGCACATTCTTATCGGCACATCTGATTTCTTGTACAATACCAACGTACAAAAAAAAAAAAACGCATGTTCAGTACCTAAACCAGAGTCGTGGAGAATAAAAAATAAATTTTCTTTTTCATCATTAGAAAACTTTACGTAATTGAAACGTATAATACATTAAAACAGTGCGTACTTATTAAAATTGAGCTCGAGATATCTTTCGTTACATGTAATGAATATTACAATAATTAGATAATTTTATATTCGAATTTTTAATTACATACCCTTACAGAGATCTAACACTGGCCAATTTAATACTAAACAAACAATAATTAATTACTTATTTCAAATATTGAAAGCATTATTGTTCAGTGCTCCAAATAAGTAATTAATTACTGTGTACAGTACACATAATATGGCCAATTTTAGATTTCCGCAGAGGAATATTTTATGAATAAATAAAATAACAAATAACAATTACATTATACGAAATATAAATGATACACACACGACTCTGGGCTTAGGGTCGATATAAAAGCCACGACTTACCTTAGACAGCTTTTCGCCCTCGTGATGCGGCAGCAACGTCCTCAGCGATTGGAATCCGGCGTTGATACTCTGCATACGACGTCGCTCGTTGCTGTTGGCGATTTCTCGCCGCATTCGTTTCTCCTGCTCCATGTGGCTGCGCGACGCAACACGGCCAACGTTGCTGATACCGTTTCCGTTGCTCAACGCAGCGGTCTGAGTAGCAACCCGCCGACCAGTCCCGACGTTACCTTTTGATTGCGGCGGTTGTTGCCGCTGCTGCGGTTGCCGTTCTTGAGTATCAGCGACTTCGGCGACCGTCACACTCGTGGTCACCGAGCCGTCGTCCACCGTCTCGACGCTCCTGCAGACAGATCAATTATTAAACATTACACATATTTTTTTTACATCATTTGAAGTTGACATTTTATCTTAATCAATAAATTCTACAATTGTGAAGTCTTATCAGCAAATGCTGATACGACTTACCGAACGTACAATGCTAATGTTTAATATTTAAGATTATTTTATTTTAATCGTCGTATAATTATTTTGCATAATTAAATTTTCGTAGATAGACTTCATTATTCGAGTTTCCCAGGCTTCGCGTTAATTACACGACGAAATACAATACTCACGCTTGAGTCTTTCAATACTAAATGGCTACGCTCCTTGAACTCTTGAATCTTTATATATATTTATATCTACGTCAATTTATTTTAATTACCTCGCATGCAGACAGCTGCGCGTATCATCGTTATTAAAAAAAAAAAAAGACATTTCCGTTGGGCGATAAATGCCCATGGTCAAAGTATTCCACAGTACTATCAACAAGATAGAAGTCCGCCGAATCAAAGCGAACATCGGGAGAGAAAGAGAGACGAAGAGGACACCAAACACGCGCACGCACATTTAACACGCGTAACGCGTGGCCTTTCGTCGAATTTTCGACCACGATTGAGATCGAACGTGGGACACACACTCATCTTATCTCGTCTCGTAACGCGAGAGCTTTTAAGAAAATTGAAAGCAAGAAGATGTTTTTTCTCGTCTGTGCCTCTTTCTTTTTGCTTCAGCGCGGCGGACGACCGGACGGAACTTGTGGACGGTTGAATTCGCGGTCAATGAAGCGAGACGTCGTTGACGCTTCTCGACGGCGGCTTCAAAGGCTTCCTCGCACGTTTCCGACCGCTCGCACGTCCGCAAAATACTCTGCGCCAGTCGCATAGATCTGTGATTTGATAGATCACTTACATTTACTAATGTCATTTTTTTTCATACCTCCAGCTCGATTTAATGCCGATTTGTCAATTACATTGATAGTAAAAATTAATAAAATGTATGAAATTACGACGTAATGTACCTACTGATTATGTATGTTATATTTATAGGTTTTAATTTATGATATTATTCTATAATTCAGTTAGAGAAGATTGCGATTTAAAACTGCAAACTTAATTCGGCGTACAATTTGCAATAGAATATAGTATATAATAAATTCACACCGGATTATTTAAGCACTAAAAATCCAACTTGACTGTTTAGAGTTTTATTTTCTATTTGTTCCGTATTCACATTACAATCTTACTTTGTTTGACACGTGTTATATTTTATTTTATTTTAAAACTGTCGAGCTCTAGTAAATATTTTATGACTTATCTAATTTCCGCGTGTGTCTATAGCACGCCATGCGTAACGTACTTTACATGAATCGTCACGCAAATAATACAAGAATAACGTACGTATATATTATCACGAATCTCGCGCATGGATTTCATCATAAAGGTCAGCTGTGAGCACGCATATGAAACGTCACGTAAGCATAAATTTTAGTTAAATACATAGCAAGCATAAAATATTTGTTAGTTGTAAACATCTAAAAATTTCATTCATATTTACTTGTACTCAAAATAATCATGATTAAAGATAAAACTAAACGGATGGCTCGCAGTGTTTAACAATGTAATATTTCAGAGTTTAAAGACAAAAATTATTTGCAAGATATAAAAGAATTACGACAGATTTTACTTTTTTTTAACCAAATATGATAAATAACTTCGTTAAATTTATTATAATTCTTCGAATATAATGTCTCTTGTTTTATCTACTAACATTTGTGCTCTAATGTATCAATAATTCATTTAAATTATTATTCATTAAATCATTTTAATTTAATATTTATATAACTAAAATATAAAAAAGAATAGCAGCAAACTTGATTATTGAAATATCTGCAAGAGAAATGTCGTTAAATTTATTAAACCCTGCATCTTTTAATATACAAGATCATTTTTGTATTAAAATTAATAAGAGGAATTCATTCCTTAAATCCATCAAAGTTATATAAGTGTCGTTATGTGTGATTACATGCTGTAGTCTTCTACTCCGGGGAACTTATAAATAAGTTAGCGAAGTCCTTAATAATGCAGTACTCATTCCGTAACATTGTAGACTAACTTATAGGTAAAGTCGGTAAATGAGGAAACAACAAACAGCTGGGAAAATTATACGTTAACGAGCAGTAGTAAGAAAAGCAATGAGAAAGAGAGCTAAAGAGGAGAAAGATCGAGATGGCGGCTATAGCGCCGCGAGGATGACTCAGCAAGGGAAGACCGTGACCTTGCTCCTTGCGCCGAAACGCCACGTGTCGATAATACGAACGAATGTAAAGGCTATTCGCAAAACATAACCACGCAATCATTTTTATTTATAGAACACTCTTTCATGATTTTCTTGTAATGCTTCCACCTTAAAAAAAAAAAAGAACGTAACTTATTAAATTGTATTGTGTTAGTTGTAAATTAAATTCAGATTAGTTCGGGTTGTAAAACAGATTAATTTAAACCGTAAAATAATTCAGATCATAGATCAGACCGTATAAAAACATAATATACCTAATAAATGTTTCAAAAAGTAATATATTGTCGACGTGAATGTAAAAGATTTAAGAGATATACTGTTGATGAGTTTTCGTGTAATATAAAAACGCTTATTGTTCATAAAACGTATTACCAAATAGCCAATAACAATACGTAAAAATAGCAAGAGCGTCTTTAAATGTCACGATACTTTATTGACCGCTTGTCACTTGTCCAGTAATTTTCTTTGGTTGAAATATTAACAGTTACTCATTCGAAGATGTCACTCAAATACCACGAAACTACGACCACACGCACGAAGGTGTATAATCGTACATCATCCCGCGATGTAATGACGCTTTCAAATCACGATCATCCGTCAAAAACTTTACAATAGCTAAAGTGTGTTATAACGTAGCATTATTCCGCAGTTTAACTCTCGTCCAATATTAACTGTTGCTATAACTTCAAAGAAAAAAAAAGACAATTTCTCTATCATGATGCTAAATATATCTCCATCAATTGTGAATTAAAGCGATACGGAACATCAATAACGTGACATTTCATAGCTGATGAAGTCACTCGTTCGTGTTCGTTATATATTAATTTCGACATTGTATCGTTATCGTCATCAATATTTTAGTCACAATTATCATCACACAATAGCCATAAGAGCCAATACGATCAATTTAATATAACAATAAATCATTATTCCATTACGTTTAAAACGTACTGCCACTTTCGAAGGGAAGCGTCTTTTCTCGCGATAGACACAGCTGAATTGTTCTGAGTAACACACGAGGGATTGAATCAGGCCGCGGCATTCATCAGCGATCATTCATAACGGCACGTGGAGGTCCACGGAACCAGAAATCCACGTGGCGTACTCTCTCATCGAGTGGTTATATTAGATCAGCTGGTACGCCGGCGGCTTGCTGGCTGGATGGTTGGCTGTCGTGACGTCAGCTCGTTCGTTCGCCGGATACCCGCAGAGCGCTCGCTCGGTCAGATCAGTTGCGGCGAAGTAGGTCGACGAAGTGGATAGAGCTACCTTCCTTTTCACCCTGAAATCCTGCCACCCATACGAGGGAGAAACGTGCGAGCTAAAGATAACCCTACGTCACCTATTCTTCGTATCTCAGTTCGGTTCGGTTATCTCCTGAATCGTGTGTCTCTTACACATCTTCAGAGAAAGAGTTCACAGTTATCTTTTATACACATTTCTTATCCTCTTATACGTCTCATTGCTTAGTAAATTCAATTTTTTCTAAAGTATTCTTTAGATTATTATGATTTTTATATTGTACCTAAGCATAATTTTCTTGTGATATTTAAATTTCTACACGTAAAATTTCTTATCCATATAAATTTTCTCTCTCCCATTACTAATTCTTAAATATAATGTTCTCACTTTTTGTACTGCTTATTATATCAATCAGCTGATACATTGTAATTGATGAACCAATTATAGGAATTTACCGTTAGTCTTTGTCTTTATTTTCTCATTTTCTGATATTGATAAAATTCAAGTACAACTGTGAATACTACAGCTGTGATTTAAGTTGCTTATGCCACAATCCTAATCAGCAGTCGAACCCAAGAGATAAGTTCTTACAAGGTTACATGATACTCAGGCTACATATGCCGCCGAATTATCTTCGATAACAAAAAAATTTTTTTTAAACAGTATATTCAAAAGAGATATACGAAGCTTGGTATAATATTGAGCAGAGTAATTTTTGATAAACGGAAAAGAATATTTCAATCAACGAAGTAAATCCCGAATAGTTTTTTGTATGATATTTTAATATATATTAAATTAACTTTCTTTTCTCGTATATTCTAAAATTTTTGTGAGCAGTAAAAACTCTTACACTAAAAAATAATAAATTTTAATACATATTTGTTGGAATAGTTTCTTGATACAATTATTAATTTGATATATACAATATAATCATTTTTTATTAAGTAAATATGTATTTATTTTTGTTGTTGGTTTACTCAGTACTATTTAAATAATTATGTATTGAATAAATGTCTTTCAGTGTAAGAATTGGTTAAAAACTTTTTAACGTAGCACCAAAATAAAAGCCGCATTGTTATCGTCATATATTTATCAAGTAGGCGCCAGGAATTATTTGCCAACAAATAATTATAGTTTAGAGAACTAATCGCGCAACCATTTGCTGATTGCGCGATTAGTTCCAATTATAAACTCGTACGTCGACGTTGCCCAACGGGAACGATAAAAAACGGCAGGCAAAGTAGAGAGAAAAATGAGAAGGACAACGAGGTATCGGTGCACCGGCGCGGCGGGCGGTGCTCGGAGCTTCTGCCCAAGTGCACGTGTACCCTTGGATTTT